GATGGATGAAACTGGAGCCCATTATACAGAGCGAAGTAAGCCAGAAAGATAAAGACCATTACAGTATACTAACATATATATATGGAATTTAGAAAGATGGTAACGATAACCCTATATGCAAAACAGAAAAAGAGACTCAGATGTATAGAACAGCCTTGTGGACTCTGTGGGAGAAGGCAAGGGTGGGATGTTTCAAGAGAACAGCATCGAAACATGTATATTATCTAGGGTGAAACAGATCACCAGCCCAGGTTGGGTGCATGAGACAAGTGCTCGGGCCTGGTGCACTGGGAAGACCCAGAGGGATCGGGTGGAGAGGGAGGTGGGAGGGGGGACCAGGATGGGGAATACATGTAAATCCATGGCTAATTCATTTCAATGTATGACCAAAACCACTGCAATGTTGTAAAGTAATTAGCCTCCAACTAATAAAAATAAATGGAAAAAAAAAACAGCCAATAAGCACAAGAAAAGATACTAAACATCACTAGCCATTAGAAAAATGCAAATCAAAACCACAATGAGATACCACTTCAGACCCATTAAAGTAAGTAAAGTAAAGTCACTCAGTTGTGTCCAACTCTCTGTAACCCCATGGACTGTAGCCTACCAGGCTCCTCTGTCCATGGGATTTTCCAGGCAAGAGTACTGGAGTGGGTTGCCATTTCCTCCTCCAGGGGATCTTCCCAACCCAGGGATCGAACCCAGGTCTCCAGCATTGCAGACAGACGCTTTACCGTTTGAGCCACCAGGGGAGCCCTCAGACCCATTAGGATGACTACTATTTAAAAAAACAAAACACAAAATAAGTGTTGGCAAATTTGTGGAAAAACTGGAATGCTTGACGTTGCTGGTGGGAATGTAAAATGGTACAGCCACTGTGAAATATGGTATGCAGTTCCTCAAAAAATTAAATGTAAAATTACCATATGACTCAGCAATTCCATTTCTGGATATATATCCAATGGAATTGAAAACAGGGATTCATATCTGTACACCGATGTTCAAAGCAGTTTAATTCACAATAGCTAAAAAGTGGAAGCAACCCAAGCTTTTATGTGGATAAAAATAATGTGATATATACTTACAACGGATATTATTCAGCCTTAAAAAGGAAGGAAATTGGGATGCAAGCTACCACATGGATGAAACTTGAAGACATATTGTTAAGTGAAATAAATCAGTCACAAAGAGACAAATATTGTATGATTCAGTTTACACGTAGTACCGAGAGTAGTCAAATCATAGAGAAAGAAAGTAGAATGGTGGTTGTCAGGGGCTGGGAGAAGAGGAAATGAGTTATTGTTTAATGAGTATGCAGTTTGTTTGAGAAGATTAAAAAAAAAAGTTCTGGAGATGGATGGTGGTGATGACTGAACAACAATGTGAATGTATTTAATGACACTGAACTGTATCTTTAAGAACTGTTTAAATAGCAAATTTCATGTTATATATATTTTACCACAACTTAAAAAAAAAGAATAAATGTAATACCAGAGAGATTCTGCTATGAGCTATAACTTTTCATTAGAATGCATCCCATTCCCCACCCTCACCCCCTGAAGTCAATCTCGGAGCAATGTTTATATGTGGTCATTCAAAACAATACACTCATTTTGCATGACAGACTCATTTGACAGGAACTACAATATCATATGTCAGTGTTTGAGTGGGTGTTTTCTGGGTAACCTCAACACTGATCAACTAGACTATCTCTACGGAGCCTGCCCTTACCCTAACATGCATCAGTGAGCCATCTCAGTCAACTGACTTCTAGTAAGTGCTCAGTCACTGTGTATGAGTAACAGAAAAAAAGGGTGAGTTATTGTCCTAAAGTTGCACAGAGAAAAATAGAACACATAAACCGTCCCATGAACTAGGGAAGCAAATAAAAATACAGGATACTCTGTTATTTATCTGAAATTCAAATTTAACTTGGTATCCTGTATTTTATCTGGCAATGCTCTGCCATATTGGAAGTGAAGAGAAAATAAATAATCCAGAGTGTTTTGGGGATACTGAGGTCTTAACAGGGACCTAGACAGAATAGTGTAGAAAAGCCCATTAAAAACATATTGGTTAGCCAAAAAATAATAATAATAAAATAAAAGTACTGGTCTCTAGACTCCATGCTTAATTCTGCTCATGAGCCCCTTTCTGCTTTGGGTGTCTGTGATCCAAGACTTACTTTCTAAAGTTACAAAGTCAGAGACTGGGAGAAAGAAAAAGTAGAGGATAAACCAAAGCTAGAAATGAGTGAGAACATACCCAGCTTCCAGTTAGGAAGGCCTGGCCTCAAAAAGGGACCTTAGGCACTTAACATAAAAATTAGAGGAAATCAGATTTTGACCTGGCTCAAAGCAGAAGAGAAACGATGATGGTAAATGCTCTATAGCCATACAGTAGGAGGGACCCGCAAAGAGTCGAACATGACTGAGCACATACGTGAGTGAGGAGGGACTGGCAGAGCAAAACACCAGAGACAGTGGTGGGATCTCCCAATTCCCTGAAACCATTACCATTACTAATTTCCACGGAGCCCCCAAGAAACTCCAGTCACAATTTTTACCTACTAATACTCTGAATTGACACTTTCGAACTGTGGTGCTGGAGAAGTCTCTTGAGTGTCCCTAGGACAGCAATGAGATCAAACCAGTCAATCCTAAAGGAAATCAACCCAGAATATTCATTGGAAGGACTGATGCTTAAGCTTCAATACTTTGGCCACTTGATGCGAAGAGCTGACTCATTGGAAAAGACCCTGATGCTGGAAAGACTGAGGGCAAGAGGAGAAGGGGGTCACAGAGGATGAGATGGTTGGATGGCATCACTGATTCAATGGATATGAGTTTGAGCAAGCTCAGGGAGATAGTGAAGGACAGAGAAGCCTGGTGTGCTACAGTTCATGGGGTCGCAAAGAGTCAGACACGACTTAGTGACTGGACAACAACAGTACTCTGAGCCCCAGTGACAATAATACCGCTAGTAGTCAGGCAACTACTTCTTATAAACTCCTGCAGCTTTGAAACTATTGTTCATCAGTCAGCAACATCATCTCTTTTCCCATGGACCCTGGGCCAAAACGGAGATAGCCGAACCCTGTCTTAGCTTCAGGAAATTGAACCTGTTCATGTCATCCTCTTAGGAATCAACAAAAACAGATTTCAGGCTCTCTGTTCTTTGAGAACCCCATCTTTAAAAGGCCTGTGTTCCATGAAAAGATGCTCAACATCACTCATTATCAGAGAAATGCAAATCAAAACCACAATAAGGTACCATTACACACCAGTCAGGATGGCTGCTATCCAAAAGTCTACAAGCAATAAATGCTGGAGAGGGTGTGGAGAAGAGGGAACCCTCTTACACTGTTGGTGGGAATGCAAGTTAGTACAGCCACTATGGAAAACAGTGTGGAGATTTCTTAAAAAGCTGGAAATAGAACTGCCATATGACCCAGCAATCCCACTTCTGGGCATACACACCGAGGAAACCAGATCTGAAAGAGACACGTGCACCCCAATGTTCAGCGCAGCACTGTTTATAATAGCCAGGACATGGAAGCAACCTAGATGCCCATCAGCAGACGAATGGATGAGGAAGCTGTGGTACATATACACCATGGAATATTACTCAGCCATTAAAAAGAATTCATTTGAATCAGTTCTAATGAGATGGATGAAACTGGAGCCCATTATACAGAGCGAAGTAAGCCAGAAAGATAAAGACCATTACAGTATACTAACATATATATATGGAATTTAGAAAGATGGTAACGATAACCCTATATGCAAAACAGAAAAAGAGACTCCGATGTATAGAACAGACTTGTGGACTCTGGGAGAAGGCGAGGGTGGGATGTTTCAAGAGAACAGCATCGAAACACGTATATTATCTAGGGTGAAACAGATCACCAGCCCAGGTTGGGTGCATGAGACAAGTGCTCGGGCCTGGTGCACTGGGAAGACCCAGAGGGATCGGGTGGAGAGGGAGGTGGGAGGGGGGACCGGGATGGGGAATACATGTAAATCCATGGCTAATTCATTTCAATGTATGACAAAAACCACTGCAATGTTGTAAAGTAATTAGCCTCCAACTAATAAAAATAAATGAAAAAATAAATAAATAAAAAAATAAAAGGCCTGTGTTCTTGTTTATTACTGACACTGTTCAGACAGTGGTAATCCCTGCCTGATGCTGGCCTACTGAGATATAAATGGCTCATATGGCCTGTTCATACTATAGTAGTATTTAGGAATCTTTGAAAAGTCTCACACTAGGCCAGGCTGGGATGTCTCCCCTCTCCAGTGGCGGAAGGGGGAGGCAAGGTATCCAAGAATTAAAAGGGTAAAGTAACTGAGGTCATTCCTCCAACCTGTCCTGAAGCACCAGCTGATCAGGTACACTGAATCAGGCTAGCCTCCACAATTCTTCACAAGAGGGAGCAGTTAGTCTCTAGGGCAAGAGGAGAGGGGTCATCTGGGTAAAGCTCTTTAAAGATTATCTGGGCAGCCACTGAAGGACTGGCCAATAAAAATTTCTGCAGCCTTGGACCTTAATTTTTTCTTTTTGGTAAACATAACATAAAGGTAAAACAGCTAATAAAAAGAAGCTTCTATGTAAATGAAATTAGATGCATGAACTGAGAGACTATGTTCAGTCTTATGCTCCCACCATGAGCACCGTAAGTAATCCCCAGACGCCCTTCGTTTTGCCCCCATTCATGTAACTAGTGACCCGTCTTCCCATGAAACACTGCCTCACAACCTCTGCATTTGTTTCATTCATTCACTCACCCATCAAACATTTACCGAGTCTCCCATGCGCCAGGCACTGTGCTGGGCACGGGAGATAAAAACGAATCGTGTAGGGTCCTTGCCTCCAGGGCAGCCCCCCCCCCCCCCGGTGTCCTCAGGGCCAGCCTGGCATCGCAAGGCAGCCCAGGGCAACGGGATCATGGTACCCTTTGCAGCAGGTAAGAGCGGTAGCAGGGGGCTGGCAAAATGCCAGGCCACAGGTTTTCCCAAGGTAAAACTGGATGTAAGCAAGCAATCCCAGCCCGGCTCAAACAGGCATCAAGGTGGGAACCAGGGGCCAAAGGGGCGAAGGGCGCAAAGGACCCGGCGTGCAGAGGACTCCCGCCGCAGTCGCCGGGCTGGGTGCTGAGCGGCCACGCGCGCTCCTCCAGGGCCGTCACAGGAGACGTGGGGACAACGATGGCCCCTGGGCGCGAGTCAGCTGAGGGGCTGTCTCGAAGGGACAGTTTGAGGAGACGGTTGGGGTGGATCTGGGGTGACGCCCCGAAGGATGGCTTGTCCTGGGTGACTGAGGATTCAGTGGATGGCGGAACTGAAGGGCTAGGACTGAAGATGAGGTTGGTCCAGAGTGTCAAGCAAGACCGAAGGGTGGGGCTGACGGGACGAGGCGGGAGGGCTGAAGGGAAGGGAGGGCGCGCTAAGGACTGGATAGATGAGCGAGCTGAGGGCCCTTCTCCCAAGGGATCACTTGGAACGCAAGGACGGCGGATCTCCGGGATCTCGCCTGCCCCAAAGACGCGTCCTACCTGGTTTCTCGCCTCGGCGTGGTCCTACCGCGCAGGCAGCGGCGGCGTCTCGCGCCCTGCAGGGGTAGCGTTGCAGCCGGGGACAAGCAGTCGTCCCCCTTCTCTCAGACAGCTTGGTAACGCCCGGTCCTCCCCTGCAGCTGTGGCGCCGATGGTCCGATCTGAATTGCCCTCATGCCGCCCCTTAGGATGGCCCGTGTTTCGGCCCGCCGGGCCAGTGCGGGTGCTCGCCCACCTCCCGGCTCCCTCTGCATTGAGCGCGGCGAGTCACGCGCAGTGCTTTCCCGCGAGGGCAGCGGCGGAGCTGCCGCCGTGGCCCCGCCTTCTGCGGCCTGCGCCCCGCCCCTTCTGTCGGCGGAGCGGCTGGGCTGTGCTGGAACCCAGAAAACCCTCGCGCGCGGCTTAACTGGCGTGTGGAAGACAGGTGCATTTGCGCATCCGCCATCGCCTAAAGGAGCGATTCTCTGCCTGACACCTCAGGAGAACCTCTTGGGAAAAATAGAAAAACAAAACTAAAGCCTGACTTCAGCAGAGACCAATTGATCCAGAAGCACGGGTAGGGTGGAGAAGGGGTTGGGTGGTGCCCAGCCTTGATATTTTTAAAAGCACCCCAGCATAGCCAGGATGAAGAAGCCTGGTAAAGTCTAGAACGGAACAAAGACTGTCTCCTTTGGCCAAAAATTTAGTCAGGTTCTTCTGAGTCGGCCCTGGACCAGGCTTGACTTTGGGCTTCCCTCTTTGTCCTTGTAGAATCCAGTTTGAGCAAGAATCCCTTTAAATCAATTTATTGGAAATTCTCCGCTCTCGGTATCTGACCATCCTTGGTGTTTTATCACCTTCGGCTGCTTTCAGCAAGAATTCTGTTGAGTTGATCTACCAAGAATCCCCCTTTCCTCTGATGTTTCTTCTTAGTAATTGCTATGGTCATGTCCCTCCAAAATTCATATGTTGAAATCCTAACCCCCAAACATGAGTAGGTGGGGCCTTTGAGAGGTGATTAGGTCATGAGAAGCTTGCATGATTAGGATTAGTAGCGTCACAGAAGATACCTCATGGAGCTCCCTAGCCTAGTCCTTCAGATGGGGAAGTAGCTGACCAGAGAGCACCTGGTGGCCGTGCTGGCACCTTGATCGCAGACTTACAGCCTCTAGAAGTCTGAGAAATTTGTTTATAAGCTACCCAGTCTGTAGTGTGGTGTGTTTTTCAGCCATGGCATGCAGCATGCAGGACCTTCGTTCCCAACCAAGGACCAAACCCCTGCCCCGTGCATTTGGAGCACAAAGGCTAACCACTGGACCACCAGGGGAGTCCCTGTGGTGTTTTATTATAGCTGTCAGAATAGAGGAAGGCTGTAATTTTCCAGCCACTGACCTCTACCCTGCTGCTTGGCTAATAAATTATCACTTGTCTTTATTGGGGTCTGAGTTGAGCTCAATCTCTCCCCCACTGCAGCACCTCATTGCAGTGGTTCCTATAGATATTCCATGATCCCCGGCCCACTCCCTACCCTCCCCCTGCCCTGCCCCTGCTAATAAAGTTTGCCTTGCCATCTTTAACAAGTGTAATGAATATTTTTTTCTTTATCAGAACTCATGTGCTTCCTGCTCCTATGCAGGGTGTATGTGAGACACTGAAGACTGTTGTCGTCCACTTGTATCCAAAGGGGGGTGGGGGCAGGTGGTCTTTCAATAAATAGTTATTAGAACCTCACTAGGTTCCATCCTCTGTGAAAGAGAGTCTGAGACCCTGTGCTCCAGGCACTCCCAGGCTTGTTAGGTCACAGTCAAGGAAGGAGATAGATGTCATACTGTGTAATACATCCTCAGGCCTCACAAAAGTCATGTGAGCTGAGCTTTGAATAATGAGTGGGAGGTAAAAGGTGTGGGGGAAGCATATACTTAAGAACAACGGGGCAAAGCAACTGATATGATGGAGATGTGGGACTGATGCAGAGAGAATAGCAAAGATGGTCAGGGCTGTGATGATGAAGAGCCTTCCATGACAAACTTAAGGAGCTGGGACTCATCTGGTAAGCAGTGGGGAAATACTTTATCTGGAGGCAGGATGGTAAATCAAATATGAATTTTAGAACTACAGTTCTGAGGGCAAAGTGGAGAGGGCTTTAGTCAGGGAGACCAGTGAAAAACTGCATGTTTGTGCAGATAAAGGGTCCAGGGTGGGTTCTTAGCCTAAGCTAGGCCAATTGGAACCCTTTCCCTGAGAATTTGGACTTGGGGGAGAGAGAAGTACACTTTTACTCATGGTTAGACTTACAATGGAAATTTGAGAATGGTGTCAAATTTTACTTGTCAAATGGACTGAGTTGCAGAAAAAACCAGTTTGCTGAGAAGTATCAGTCTGTTGCCTAGAGAGGAGTCAAGTGAAGACACAAAGAAACTACTCCCCAGGTTCTTGGGGCCTCCAGTAGCTGATTCCACTTCTCACTGAGGCCGTTTAACTCTTACCCTGGGTTGATGATGCATCCTTCTATTCATTCATACAGTCTTATTTTTGACCTCAGAAAATGTGGGTTACTTCCTGTTACTTGTGTTACGGGATAAATTTTCAAGAAGTTAAAATCATGAGTCTTATACAAATATAAAATAAAGCCATATTTAATTCACTGATTAATGAGAGAGCCAGTAAGACACTAAGATTGGTTCACCAGGGTATTTGACTTTTAGAAATGTACATTCTCCTCCAGACAAAATTAATTTGCATCACCGAGAAGGAATTATTTGCATTGTTAAAGGCAGAAATATTCTGCAATATTATCAGTATTTGAACAGAAAAGAACTTTAGAAACCTCACTCCAGTCACAGTGTGGATACTGAAGTGGGGGAAAGAGACCAGTTAGGAGACTGTGGTAACTGTGATGAGAAATGGGAGGGTGTGAATTAGGGCAGTGGCTGAGGGGTTAGATAAGATAAAGATTCAAGAGACATTAAGGGTATAGACTGTATAGGACTTAAGGGTTAATTTAATGTGTCACTGGGGGTTGGAGGTAAAGAAGAGCAAATAGTCTCAGATGACTCCCAGGATCCTCCAAATGCTGAGTTTTCTCCAAAACCTTTTGTACACCTCTTAGAAGATTTGGAGCTAGAATTACAGGGAAATGTTGGATCTAGGACAATGCTCCCTTGTTTCTCTGTCTCTGGCAGTGATAAATATGGTCTTTCCCCAAAAGTTCTTAAAGATGCAGGATGAGCCAAATCTTGCCACAATCTCTCCCTATTCCTGAGACACTGTAGATGAGGAACAAGTATAAACCTGGCCTGTATGTGTTAGAATCACCTCTCTGTTTTCTCTTTTGGCAGTTATTCCATCTAGCTCAAGTGAAAAACTCTCATAACCCATCCAACTTCAGAAAACCCCTCAAGGGGTGCTCTCCTGAAATGAAATAATGTCTCATCTGTTTCTCTTTATGTTTTATTCTTCTCTCTAAAGACCAGACACATTGGCCCACTCATCTTCATACTTAGAGCAAGTCATGACCACTTTCAAATGGGGGCTTCTCTTTCCGAAACTATATGACCTATTCTCATCATTGACTTAATTTCTCAGAATTCTAATTACAAGAAAGATAACATAGATTGGGGTCACATATACACTCTTGGTCAACTGTGGCCAGGACTAGTGGAGTCAACTGGCATGAACACAGCTCATCCCGTCACTAAGAACTGAGTGGGAAGAGCCAGTAATCTATGGATTTAGCACCGTTGAGTAAATCAAGGGGCTTATTTGGTAAACTAGTGCCTGTATCTTCTGCAGATAACCCACAGAGTCCTTTGGTTTTATCTTCAAAATGTATCCTCTACTCAGCCACTTATTTCTTCACTGCTTCCATAGTCTAAGCCACCACCATTCCATGCATAGACAATTGTAACTTCCTCCTAAATAGTCTCTCTGATGTCACTTTTACAGTGCTATTGCCCATAGAATGGCTTAAACAATCTTTTCAAATTGGCTTTAAAGTCTTCCACTGCATCTTATCATATCTCTCCAACCACCCTCCCCTTTGCTCACGATGTTTTACCCACGTTAGACTTATGTTTCTTACATACAAAGTTTGCTCCTATCTTAGGGACTTGAATGTCCCTAAGATTTTTGCAAAGCTAGATCCTTTTAGTCATTCAAGTCTCATGTCACATGTTACTTCCTCAGAAAGTCCTCTTCTGACCACCAAAAAAGGTGGTCGGAAAGTCAGCTGCCCCTCTCCACTCACAGTCTCTCACTGTAAAAGCAGCCACTGTGGTAGCTTCATAGCACTTACTATCTGAGTGATCTCGTTTCCTTTGACACTGTCTCTTCTTCTAGAAGGTAAGCTCCATGATGGTAGAAATCTTTGTTGTCTTTCACTCTATGGGCAGCATATAGAACAGTGCCCAGACATGGCAGACACTCAATAAATATTTGTATATGGATGAATGTGATAGAAGTCAGTGTGTATGTGTGTGTGTAATTGGAACTTTGAAAGAATGGCATCTGTGGGGTCAGTATCAGATTCTTTACTGTCTGAACCACCAAGGAAGCCCATACCGTGAAACCATTTTATATTTTCTCCTACTCTTTTAACCTATTGCGTGAGACTTTATGAATTTTCTGGTCATTTTAAGGTAGCAATCAGTACTTGTTACTTTGAATACTTAAGATGCCTGAGGTAATAAAAGTATTTTTTAAATTTCATGCTTTAAAATTAAAGTTTTTCTTATCTGTCAGCCTGGCCCTATTGCAGATGGTCATGTTCAGTGGGGCTTAGTAGATGCCTATCCTTCCTTACTTATCTCTTTTCCATGCCCCAGTTTGCTAATCTTCTTTCTCCAGTGTTTGAGCAGGGTGCAGGGAGAAGAAGGTTCTTACTTGGCTGATACTGTCAGAAACTAGTTTTAGTGTTTGGCAGGTATCTAAAGTCTTTTTTTTTTTTTTTGACAGAGAGAGTCTTTCTTTGTTGGTGTAGATATTTCTCCTATACCAATTTACTTTAAGGTGAGTGAATTCAGCTCCTCTAGCTGATCACTTATAGCTCCTTTACAAATCTCTAGGCAGTTAAAAAATCAACTTTATTAAAGTATAATTAAACACAATAAAATGCACAGATTTTAAGTATACAATTTGATGTGTTTTGACAAATGTATATATACACCCATGTAACCACCTCTGAAATCAAGATATAGAAAATTTACCTCATGCTGTTAGACAGGCAATCAAACCCACCCTCCGACAACCTTTTATCTATTTAGAAATATCCAGGCATTTGACACCATATCTCTTGCTTCCTTCTGGGGAAGTCTCCTCAACATTTCAGATGGTCTCTCTGAAGAGACCAAGATAAAGAACAAGATATGGACAAGATAAAGAAACCCTAACTAGGTTTCTTTCTTTTTTTTTTTCCTAACTAGGTTTCTT